AGGGTTTCACTATGTTGGCCAGGCTGGTCTTGAACTCCTGACCTCAGGCGATCCATCTGCCTCGGCCTCCGAAAGTGCTGGGATTATAGGCATGAGCCACCGTGCCCGGCCTGTTGTTTCTTTTTTAACTTCCCCACCATGTGGTGGTTGATTCCAGTTTGTTGCTATTAAGAAACAATAGTGTTGGCATTCTTTTAAAGTTTAGATATACTTTAAAACTTAAAGTTTATCTATAGGGCAGATCCTCACAAGTAGATTTGTTGGGTCAAAGGGTATATGAATTTATGTAAATATAAATATATATAACCAGATGTGTGTCCTCACACCAGAGCTAGAGTTTCTGTTTCCCCATGCCTTCGCTGATACAGGATATTAGCAGACTCCAAATTTTGCTAATCTGACAAGCGAAAAGTGGCATCTCAGAGTAGTTTCATTTACATTTTTTTAAGTTATGGTCTACTCGAATTCTTTATGTGTGAACTGCCTGCTGTATATTGGTATGTAAACTCTAAGGAAATTCGCTTTTTTTGTTGTTGTTTATGTTGCATATAGGGTTCCCTAGCTTGTCATTTTTCCTTTGACTTCCTTTATGATATTCTGAAAGCCTTAACATTTCTATGACATAAATTTATTTTCTTCTTTATGACTTCTGGATTTTATATCCTGCTTAGAAAGGACTTCCCATTCCAAGATTGTAAATAAATGTATTTTTTATTCTAGAATTTCTAGGGTTTCATTTTTACGTTTCAATCTTTAACTCCTGTGGAATATGTTTTGTTGTAATGAGGTAAAGATTTAGCTGTACTTTCAGTTTCAATTTTTAAAAAGTTAGCCAGTTGTCCCAACACTGTGTATTGAATACAGGGAGTCCAATCAAAGTGTTTTATTTTGCTTAATCGTGTCATTTTTATAAGAAAGAATCATTATATTTCTGTTTATTTGTGAATATTTGGAGGCTTCTTCAATCTACTAAATAAATGTAGGGAAAAGGCTGTGAACTTAATAACTAGTAGACAATCTAGGGAAGAAAATGGGGTTCAAGGTAGAATTACATGATACTGTATTTCAGACTTCCTCATTCACATTATCTGTCATCCACATAACATTATGTTAGCAAACCACAAGAATGAGAGAAATTCACAGGCAGCAATGTTAGCTGTGGAGTAGAAGATAGCTTTAATAAGATTCAATAAGTTTATAAATGTCTGTAATGCTGAGGGCTATCATATAATCTCATTTTTATTGTGATCCAACTACACATCAAGGTAAGCAGGGTATTCTGTATATTGAAGAAATTAAGTGTCTTGTCCAGGGTCACATGGCTAGAAAGTGACAGAGCCAGGATTCAAACTCTGCTCTCCTGATCCTGAGACCAGTGTTTTCTTGACTGGCTTGACCTGGCATTATGTCATGTCTGGTAGTTTATACTTTAAGTAATATGCTATCTGAACCCAGCTATATACAGAGAGGCGTATTTTAATACATTCAGACTACAAATTACAACAACATGCAATAGGACACCAGTGAAAAGTCAGCACAAAATGAACTTCATTGAGTATTATAATCAACTCTTTGGAATGCCAGTTTTTCATAGTGATATTAAGATGTGGTTGTTAAATTAGATCACAAAAATTGCTTTTCTTTTAAATAGAAAATGTTATCAATCACACGGATGAAGAAGGATTTACTCCTCTGATGTGGGCTGCAGCACACGGGCAAATAGCTGTGGTAGAGTTCCTACTTCAGAATGTAAGGAAAATGCCTCAGAAAATGTATATGTATAGTTACTTAAGTTCAGTTGAGTCTTTAGTAGAGTTTTTATATCTCCAGCCAACTAGATATAGCGGTAGAGGATACCAAAAAAAGTTTAATGCTTTTCATATTCTCGTGGAACTTGGATCCAGTTGGGAAGACAAGATTAATCATACATGCAGCAGTGAGAAAGAATTCAACACCCAGACCCCTCTAAGTGCCACAGGAACTGAAGTACTGTCAGCTTTGTAGGAGAAGGCTTCATAGAGGAGCTGTGCCTTGACTCCAGAGAGAAAGGATAGTTGAGATTGATACAGGACAGAGGAAGGAAGGCATCTAGACAATCTCAATAAAAGCACCCATGAGTAAAAGTTTCCATTATTTCTTTATTAAGCCCAGAACATTACTAGGCTTAGTGTTGAACTATAATTATTGTTGACAGGAATAACAATATTCCTGTTTAAACTAATTGAGAAGTTTTTTATCTCTACTTCCCACACCAGGGTGCTGATCCCCAACTTTTAGGAAAAGGTCGAGAAAGTGCACTGTCATTGGCCTGTAGTAAAGGCTACACGGATATTGTCAAAATGCTGCTTGATTGTGGAGTTGATGTAAATGAATATGATTGGGTAAGTCTGTGATACTAAATTTAAAATTAACAAGTTTTAGAATTTATTTGGTTTGGGAGAGATACAGTAAGTTTTATTAAAGAAGAAACAGATTGGGCATGGTGGCATACACCTGTAGTCCCAGCTGTTTGGGAGGCTGAAGTGGGAGGATAGCTTGAGCCCAGAAGTTTGAGGCTGCAGTGAGCTTTGATTGCACCACTGCACTCCAGCCTGGGTGACAGAGTGAGACCCTGTTTCTAAAAAGTAAATAAAAGAATAAATGAAGAAGAAGAATTAATTAGCTAAGTACCTAGAAGAAAAACTTAATATCACATGCTCAATTATTAGTTCTGATTTAAGTATCCTTCAAAAAATATTAAAATTACTTTAAATGATTATATGTCCAGTTCTAGTAAAACTTCTCACAGCAGCATTAAATTACTTGAATCTTGCTCACCCTGAAAAACTGAATCACCTTTTCATTTTACAGAATGGAGGAACACCTCTGCTTTATGCTGTACATGGAAATCATGTGAAATGTGTAAAGATGCTCTTAGGTAAGCAGATAAAAATGAATATTATTTAGAAAATGCCATGCAAGGTCTTGATTTTATTTTTTCAACCTCGCCTCCCTTGGTACCACTCAGGAGAATCATTAACTATTGCTAAATACATGACTCTTGCTACTCTTCACGCCTGGAGCACCTGCCAGCATGAAGTTGCCCATGTGAGAAACAGCTCCATCACATCCCACACCTGCAGTTGGACCTTTTGTCCTTGTTGCTTTCATTTGGGGGGTCATATGTGAATCCACTGTTGTGGCCAGGCACAGTGGCTTCATGCCCATAATCCCAGAACTTTGGGAGGCCGAGGCAGGTGGATCACTTGAGATTAGGAGTTCAAGTTGCCTGACCAACATGGCAAAACCCTGTTGCTACAAAAAATACAAAAATTAGCCAAGCAGGCGGGAACCTGTAATCCCAACTACTCAGGGTGCTGAGGCAGGAGAATCGCTTGAACCCCAGGGGCGGAGGCCACAGTGAGCTGAGACTGCACCTTTGCATTCCAGCCTGGGTGACAGAGCAAGACTCTGTCAAAAAAAAAAAGAAAATGAATCTACTATTGCTTTGTTTTTAATTGTGTAGGAGTTTCAGCTGCTCTAGAGGATGCTGTTAGTCTGAAGTGTCTTCCCTCCAATCCACTGAAGTAAATTCTGAGTATCCCATGTACTCTGTACTTTGTCAGACTAACCTAAAAATGTTCTCCAAACTGAAAAATCTGTCCAGCTATTTGTACATGAGCCAATAGTAGACAAACCTATCCACATTTTCATTTCATTTATGTAGATTTTTCTGTTTTGGTATAGAAAATGGGGCTGATCCAACAATTGAAACTGACTCTGGATATAATTCTATGGATCTAGCTGTAGCCTTGGGCTATAGAAGTGGTAAGTATGTTGGAACTCTTGTGTCTCATCTTAGTAAAGCTGTGTAATAGTATAAGCCAGTATTCCAAACCATTTTTATCACTATAATCCTAAAACATGTTATCCCAACTCCTGACATAAACTTTCAACTGTGGGAAAAGTCCATAAATTCTTATAAAGTCTAGAAATGAATTTGCTACTATACTTTTCACCAACCCAAATAATTAGTTACTGGAGGGTAAGAGCAAACCTGTTGATAAGATTTAGTTCATATTTTGATAGCAGACTATTTATAGGGCAACCTTAAGACAATCTTGTATTCCAGACTCTCCTTCAGTTTCAAAAATATAGAAACCAAGACACAACGTCCAATAACTTGGACAGTTACTCGGTGACAACGTTTTAAGGTTTTAAAGTATTGCATTGTATTAGTGCCCTCAGACTATGCATTTATCCTGCTTAGAAATGACTTTACTTTCGGGAAATATTGGGGATAAGTTAAATTTGATAGTTTTTATATAGTCAATGTGCTGTAATCTTGATTACCTATCTGTTCTAGTTCAACAGGTTATTGAGTCACATTTGTTAAAGCTGCTTCAAAATATCAAGGAGTAGACACGGTCGTCAGAAAACGTCTGCCTTTTTGTTTACTTCTTGGTTCTTACAAATGATAGTTTTGTTTACTTATAAATTTTTACTTCAGTTGCAATATTTACTGGTTTTTAGTAGGTTTTAATAAATATTTCTCTGAGTAATTCACTGGTTTATAATAAATTTAATGTTAATATCCTTTTTATAATATGTTTTACTATGTATTTAAAATTATAAATTAATGTTTCATGGCATGTAAATTTTTATGGTACAGATAGTTATCATCGGTCTTTGTATCAAGTGCTGTAATTTGACATTTTCAGAAATTATTCCACCCTAGTCATCTTCACTCATGTATTGTCATTAACTTTATATAGGGTTTGCTATAAATCCCTAGAAAAAAAAATTTGTTATTGTTGAATTAAAAAGTGCACAGTGTGGTTGTTTACAAAATGATATTATAAATAAAATACTTTTTCGTCAGTTTGCTTGCTAGTTTTTTAAGTATATAAGATTATTGGGCCGGGCACGGTGAGCTTTGATTGCACCACTGCAAAAAATAAAACCAGGCCGGGCGCGGTGGCTCAAGCCTGTAATCCCAGCACTTTGGGAGGCCGAGGCGGGTGGATAACAAGGTCAAGAGATTGAGACCATCCTGGTCAACATGGTGAAACCCCGTCTCTACTAAAAATACAAAAAATCAGCTGGGCATGGTGGTTCGTGCCTGTAATCCCAGCTACTCAGGAGGCTGAGGCAGGAGAATTGCCTGAACCCAGGAGGCGGAGGTTGCGGTGAGCCGAGATTGCGCCATTGCACTCCAGCCTGG